AACAAGTTTTACTTGATTAAAGTGCAAAAGAACTATAAAGACCAATAGGTATCACTTTACAATAAGACCTCATTTGTTAACCTTAGTTAATGCATTAACATTCACAATGAGCAATAGCTACATTTGCTACAGAAGTTATTAATCTTTGTTAAAAAAATACTTAAGTCTTATAAGTTAATACTTAAGTCTTTGTTCATGCTAGCTAATTAAATAACACAGTTGCAACTTTCAATTTTAACAACGTGTTATTAAATATTGTAATTACCTAAGATTAATGAATGTTCAGAAGAATTTTTCATTGGCAGTTTATGTTTAAACTGTGCATTAGTTTATGCAACTAATGAATTAACTAATGTTAACTAATGAAGCCCTAATGTAAAGTGTGATTATTATTATTATTATTATTTCTGCAGTTTAGCGCCATCTGCTGTCAGAGAGTGAAAGTGCGCTTTCATCCAGAGCATCTCTCACATGTTCCACCATGTGCTTCTGGTCCGCGCTTATTTACATCAGAGTGCGCACACGTCTTTCACGCAGCATACAGCGGTGTTGTGCATTTTGACCAGTTGATGGGAAAAGTATTCTTAAAATGCATTCAAAATTCTAAATAATTTGTAATATATTATTATTCACGGTATTTAGAAGTGCCCACGATAATAATATCGTGCATATTTATTACCGTGATATATCGCATCACCGAATACTGGCACAAGTCTAATACAAATAAGAAATGTTTGGGAAAAATGCATACTTTTAAACATGAGACTAAACCGCCAGTAGGTGGCAGTAAGTCACTTATTAATTCAACCGGTTCTTTCAAAACGCTGAATCATTCAGAAGCAAAAAATGCCAAGTGTTGCTTGGAGAATGTGCAATACTTCCGTTCTGATCTTTGTTTGGAACTATTTAAAAAAAAAAAAAACAAGTCAATATTGTGTCTAAAATGTAAGTAATACTTAACTACTTGTTTGTTGAACTAAAATCAATGTAACATTTGCAATCGTGAAAACATTGAATTTTTCCTTAGTATGTTTGTTCTGTGAGTTTCTTTATGTGCCATTACGCTCATTTATTTTGATTTCTCCATGAAAGTCTCTCACAGAGACAGGCAGCACGAGCCTCAACAGCGTGACACTGATACCAGAAATACACTATCCATTATCAATCACTGTTTATGCTGAAAGTAATAAAATCGCAAGAATCATTCTTGCGTTTCAATGCGTCACTAGTTATTTTTTGTAACTTAAGTTTTAATCAGGCTATTTTTCCCATCGGGCAAGTAAAATTCTTGAGCCATTTCAGTTAACTTGCATAAACCCATTTAAAGTAGCTAGGAGGCTGGTCAGCTAGCTAGTTCGACCTGTATTCTGCTACCGCAATTCTCTGATGACGCAGTAACTACAGCGGGGAAAAAAATCTTCAGTCTGTCCAATGATTGTAAACAGTCACTGGGTCTGTCAGACTGTAGAATTTCTTGCAGTAATGTGACCAAAAATATTTAAGACATAAGACTTTTTAAGGCCACCCTGTTTAAGGGTACTGCTCCAATTGCAAGTTGACGTAACCTACAAAACATACACTTTTTTTGCACATTTTGAATAGTGTATCACCATATAGCTTTCTTATTTTACTGTGCAACTAGCTATTGTCCTTTACTGGCACTGTATTTGTCAAATAGAAAAGTACTTGTCTATTACAATGACCACTAAGTTTGGATTGTTTCTTTAAATCCAATACCTTTTTTGATGATCCCTTAAGTTTATCTATTCACAAACAGTGGCTACACACATACTCAACCAGTAAATAAGTCTGGTTCAATGTTCAGTACCTGCACAGCGCTGGGGAAGAGAGGTTTGGATGCAGCGGACTGAGTGGCAGGTACAGCTGGTCTGCTGGCCATTCCAGGAGCTGTGACAGGGGCTGCAGGTGCCATAGGAGGCATGCCAGGCCTGGCAACATGACGTGGCATTCCTAAAAACAAGAAAATTATTTACTACCACAACTGTTTGACTAGGACCTTTTTTTGTACTCAAGCAGATGCAAAAAAATGGCTATTATCAATATATTATTAATGGCAATAACGATATCACTATACTTAAAACCCCTTAGCCGTCAAAGATCGGCGACGGCCCAAGATTATTGTTGTTTCACTTTACAGTCACGTCAGCAGCAGTTTATTTGTGTTCACATAGATTCACTGAACAGGGTTAATAAGGGCTTATAGAACAAAGATGCATAAACATGGAGATATATAGATACATTTACTCATGTTTACGTCATATTTCTTCAGACAGAATCATAATTTCTATTCATTTTCTACCGATTTACGCGATCTACAGAAACCCTGATTCGTCCGTCGCCTTGTCAATCTTATTGCGTCTCATAACAAGCCCCGTCTCATCCTGTCACGAGCTTCCTTCACTCTTCCGTGTTGATTTCTGACCATAACAAACACAGAGAAACCTCTGTACCCACGAAATATCCAAATAATAAACACACGATTACGATAGTATATGGTTTGTATTTGATTTTCTTCAGATTTGGGGTATTTTCATAATAATGAATGTGTACATCTGAAATGCTAATTTGTGCAGCGATATAAAAGGCTATAAATAGCATATTTTTACAACAGTAAACGACCAAATTCCACATGAGATCGCAAAAGGAAGTTATTACAAGCACTCGATGGTGGTTTAAAGTGAGTTTTGAATAAAAGTGTACTAATATGATAAATTGTCTTATGTAGCTTGATGCTAATGTTAGCTCTAATGCAGCTGCAGAACAGGTGCAGCTCTTCTTCCTAATGCATTTTGTCATAATAATTCACGTAAGGTAGTAAGAAAATGTTTTGCTGTATTTTTTTTAGAAATACCTTTGATAATAGGCCGGTATGTCGATCTTATTGCACTGTTTCTTGAAGTGCCCAAATGTATACTGGGATTGAAGCGATGTGGCTTGGTAAACCTTGTAATGCAGGAATAAAGGCTACTAATGGCTGAATAAAACAAAAGAATAATGATAAAGGAATAATGAGGATAATGTCTCATACCTGGCGGAGGTGTGAAAGGTTCGTCGGGTGACAACAATAGAATCATGAATCTTTTATTGTCCTCATTTGTAAGTCGCTTTGGATAAAAGCGTCTGCTAAATGACTAAATAAATAAACAATAAAAATACTAATGGCTGAATAAAACAAAAGAATAATGATAAAAAAATAATGAGGATAATGTCTCATACCTGGCGGAAGTGTGAAAGGTTCGTTGGGTGACAACAATAGAATCATGAATGGGGCAGTTTGCCGAGACAGACATGAGGCGACAGCTTACAGAAGAGCTTACAGGGGTCATAAATCAATTTTATTAGCCTTTTATTAGCCTTCTCTAAAAACACACATTACATGGTCTTAGAAAATGTTTCATAAAATTCAGTTTTAGAGATTATGTTCTGAAATTTCAAATGAAGCATTAGTAGACTTGTGGCTTTAGCTTCATTGTGTTTCTAAAATCATATCCTACAGCAACATTTTTTTATACATTTAAAAAATGTTTTTAATATTTTTATTTTCATGTTGAGCTTATATATATATATATATATCTTTATTATCATAACAGTCCAAGTAATTCTGATTCCTGAACAGTAAACTTTGAGGTGTCAGCTTTGTGAACATATGTTGATTATGTATCTAGTAAGAAAGACAAATGAGCAGCAACCTTTTTATTTTGGGTATGTCATTTGTGTCTCCATGCTGAAAATGGGGGGTGACAGCTAAGGGATTAAACACGAAAATAACTGCTGATACACCAAAATTGTGGCAACTAAAAATATTCAGATGAAACCGCTAAATGAATGCATGTTTGGCCACAATAGCTTCTCAGGGTTAAAAATAATTGACCAAAACTGTGACGTTCAACTAGTGCTGATCAAATGAAGCAGTTTAATTTACCTGAGAATAAGACAACCTGAACAGCACAAAAAGATACACTATAACCCAAATTTAATTACTTTTAAATGGAAAGTTTAAGTTTGGTTTCGATAAATTAATTTCAGTGCATCACTAAAAATAATAACGACTGTTTATTATTAATATGAACTGGGCTTTCAGTAATGTATCACCAATAATTGTCAACAACACTGACCTGGTGGCATGCCAGGCATCATCGGAGGCATTGCTGGACCTGGGGGCATCATCCCTCCCATTGGCATCATGCTATGAATAACAGGACCAAAGATAACTTACACTGGACCATAATATATCAGCTTATAAACTCTATAGCTGAAAATTAAGACCTACCCAGGTGGCATGCCTGGCATTACTGGTGGCATCCCAGGAATCATTGGTGGGACACCAGTCAACATAGGTGGCATGCCTTTAAGAAGAGATATGAGATATTTATGTGGCACACTTTTGTTTGGGAGGTATTTAAACTATTGGCATACACACCTGGATAACCAGCGGGTGGCATGCCTTGGACCTGAAGTCCATGATACATGCCCGCCTGGGTCATTGGGGGCATGTAGGCTGCCTGAGGCGGAGCAGCAGGCTGCTGAAACGATGAAGGTCCAGCTTCAACATCATCATCATCATCATCCTCATCGGTATCATCCTGATTCTGCTTCTTCTTCTGACTCTCTGCTCGGTTAACAAAACAGGTTTATATTTCTGTCACAAACCATTCTATCGATATTTTATACACCAATTAGTTGCCTGAGCTCTATAAACCCATACCTTGTGACTTTTGTTCAAGTACTCTTCTCCGATCTTGCATGTCTTTATCCGGAATACCCTCCATGCCGTAGATTTCCAGTTCTGTGTCTGTTCTTCCTGGTATTGCATTAGGAACTGAGTCTATAGTCTCTTTGTGCACCTTTAAAACAGATTTAATAATTCAACACCCCTTGCCAAACATCAAAGTAAATGTATTAAGACATCAAAACTGTCCATACCTGCATGCAATGTATGGCCAATCCAGGTCCTGTGTAGAGCTTCTTGTGACATATATGACATTTGAAATGTTTGGCTTTTTGGTGCTGAATGAGAATCTTTTCATCATCAAAATCTCTGTTGCAATACCTGAAAGTCTGATTAAGGATCACATTGAGGGGGAGGAGTGAACGCTATGAATAGAAGAAATACGTAAAGAGCTTAAGATCAAACTGCAACGTATAAAAGACAAGTGATGATAATAGTGAGGTAAGCATTTGACTGTGGTTATAGATTATTATTACAACCCAAAATGTTCAGAAAGCGCCTATGATGCCCAATACGCCGTCAAGTGCGACAGTTCGCTACAGTGAAACAAAGCTATTGTGTCAAAAACATACCCTTAATCCTAATAAACAAGATACACTAAATGACATTAAGTGAACAAAATGCACCAGTGTGAAACATACAGGGTTCTGTTTTCCTCTGATATCTAATAATATGACTGCAGTGTGAATCTGACAGCATGAGCTCAAATACACGATCACGCTGCTGCAACATTGCACTGCACAGGCCGCATCGTGGCATGAAAAGGATACCAGCACCAGGGCTTCATTTGCTTCTTCTTTTTTCGTCCCATTTTAATAATAACTCGTTAATATCTTCTAAACCAACAGGAAAGGAAAGGATTCAAAACCGTAACCAAACGCAGATTTTTGATTTCAGGTCAAAACACACAAAAAATGGCGCGACTCCGCTAGTTTCTTCACCCACAATGCATTGGGACATGACGCAAAAACGCAACTGCGTCTGTCCGGTCGCGCGTTCTTCTTCTTCTTCTTCCTCTAATAACGTTTTATGGCGGATGGCAAACCAACTTCTGGTGAATTTACCGCCACCAACTGGACTGGAGTGTAGAGCACTAATAAATACATATTTATATTTATCTATATTTTATATATAAAAAACAAAAAAAAACAAAACACACATTCCTAAATTCTCCTGATTAATCCTATTGCTTTAATGTATTTAACAATAGCACCATATATTTACCTTTCTTTCAATCCCCACTTTCTGTTGAATACTAAATAAGTGTCTCCCTTTTGACTCTTTATTCCATACGTCTTGCCACATACTTCCAACTGCTGTTTTAATAATACCTTTTACTTCTGTTTTACTTAAAGGAATTTCTGTCAATCTCTTCTTTTCTCAATGCTGACTTGGCCAGCTTATCCACCTCCTCGTTCCCTTCTACACCTACCAGGTATCCATAAAAACTCTACTCTTACTCCTGTTTGATTTATTCTATATAACTTCTGTAAAATTTCATAGAGTATATCTTGTCTAGATGCTGATTTCCCACTATTTAACTATTTTGTTTAATACTGAATATGAGTCTGAACAAACTACTACACTTATAGGATTAATTTTTGATCCACTACTATTGCTTTAGGCATACACCTTTCCTTTTCATTTATTTTAAACTGCAACTGGAGATCTACCATTGGCATGCGGAACAGCCAAGGGGGTATTATTGGTATTGCTACCGTTGAGCTTATTTTTATGTCATTAATTCCTATCTTCTTAGCATCTGCATTGGCATTCCATCCAAAACTACAATAATTGATATACTCATGTTCCCAACATTTTTGTAATTCATCTTTGA